CAAACCTTTTTCCAGTGACAGCACAGACCAGTGGAAAAGACTAGAGCGCCGAGACTGTTCTGTCAGTTTTGCTCACTGCCGCATTTCTGGCACATGAACGTAGTATCGTTAAAGAAATGGGTCAGGCAGACCTGGGTGGAATCCTTGGCTCCACACCAATTACGAGACCTTGGGCAAAGCTACTTGGCCTCTCAGCCTATTTTCTTTATTTGCAGAATGGGCTAATAATAGCTATCGTGTAGTGTTAGCTGTCAAGATTAAAGGAAAAAACATATACAGCGCTCTTAGCACGGAGCTTGACACCTCAGATGTTGAGGCCAGACTGCTGTGTACTGGGTGGGGAAGGCCCCGTGACAGCGCTTCCTAAACACACCCTCTCCCACAGGTTCCCCGACTCCAGCCCTGCGGGGGTCCCCCTCTTAATGAAGAGAAACAGAAGTCAGTAGGGTTGATGCAGGAGAAGAACATTACAGTGGAAGGCAGGTCAATAGCTCCCGAACCCAAGAGACAAACAAATAATTATCCTTTTTCCCTTCTCAGAAGTTTTTCTGCTTTCTTATTCCTCAGAGATCAAGGGTCAAAATAACAAGATTGAGTCCTTCTGGGCTGTTCTAAGAGGGGTGCTATCTCAGCTTCAGTATTTTACCGGGCAAGATAGACGTGCTCTTGGGTTCCCAGCAGGAAGAGAGGGGCAAGCCAGGCTCTGGTCCCTGGGGAGCAGGGTGGGCTGAGCCCTACAGGGTCAAGGCTCCTCCTGCAGCCTGGGGTATCCAGGAAAAGTCATGTCGGGGGAGTCAAATGGTGCCTCAGTGTTGGCACATAATTTACCAAACCATTGCAGTAGGGCCTCAAAAGCACAAGTGCATTTGCATATGCATCTTCTTTCCCTGTTGGTCAAAAAACTATTTTACCACCAAGAGGGTAATTCTGTGGACTTGTCAATTTGCAGAGGATCCCCTGCCCCTGCTTTGGCTTCTCTCCCAATTAGCTAATGTGGCAGAAACTACAAGCAGAACAAAGAAACCTCAGCCCGGTGTGAATTGTGGAACACTTTACTGAACACCAATGAACAGAAGTCAGATTTCCTCTGCAGATTAAGAAAGACTCCAGGCGCCAGCAAAGGAAGTGAAGGGAATTTCTGAGAAAATGTTCAGGGCGGAGGCAGAAGTTCAAAGGGAAATAATTTAGAGGACAAGATGAATCGCTCCTTCTGAAATGCTTCAGATGGTGAAAGATGAGGGCCCGGAGGTAGAGAAGCAGAGAAAAGGTCGAGAGGCCCCAGGAGTGGGAGCATTTGCTGAACTTGTTCTCCTACTGCCAAGCCCAACACCGGCAGCAGGCAGCGTCCTTAGAGAGCTGGAAAAGAAGTCAGCATGCTTCAGGGGAAGGAGCCTGAGCTTTGGAGGTAGAGCTGAGGTCACTAGGTAACTAGTCAGCCACGTGACACTAGCTAACGACATGGCTTTGCATTGCTTACCTGTCCTAAACCTCAGTTCCCTCATCCTCAAAATAGGATAATGCCCATCTCCCAGGGTTGTTATGGGGATTACATGAAATAATAAATATGGAAATACTGACCACAAAAATTAGGCACGCGTGAATTGTGGTTCTACAACCCTTCCTCTATCCAAGCACCAGAAATAACTGACTCCTATTCTTGAGCTTTGCCCAGGCGGAATGCTTTGAAACACTCCCTGGAGGACTCAGGGACTTGTTCCAGCTATCTTCCTAGGAGAGAGCCAACTGCTTTGGGGACTGCTTGCTGCAGGGGTCAGATGCTCATGTTCAGCTGCTTCTCCTGGGGAGGGGCTGGGGCTGCAGCCAGGCAGTCTGGAGAGGTCTCAGCAGCATTTCTGAGACAAGGCTGTGGCTAAAGGCCTCCTCTCAGGAAGCTGTCACCTTTTCCTGGTTTTCTAGATGCCTACCTTCCAGTGGGCCCCTTAGTCCTTCTGAAGGCACACCCAGCTAATAGGTGAGTCACTGGCTTTCAGGCATGTTTTAAAGCTAAAGACAGGCACTTTCTAACTCTTTCACAGCATTCGGTCCCCAGGACAACCAAAATTACCCAAGCTATTTATAAACCATTCTTAATGCTCGAGCTTGAAAAACCAAAGCCAAGAGCATTGGAGTTCCACTCATTTCAAATTGGCGAGGAAAATAGCATTTGATTTAAAAGTTGGTTTTTAGACCAGTTGGTTCCCCATCTCCCCATATTATTTATCCTCTTTACTCCTCCTTCTCCAATACATAAAACAACCCACACACATCCATGAATGCACACATGTGCTTTCACATGAATACCTATACATGCATAGGGTAGAGTTTTTGCGAGACAATCTTGATATTGTCCAATGTCTTCTAGTTTCTTCTCTAAAACACTAAAGACAAATATATGAGAAGCTGATGAAGGTTGGTATGGATAGAATGACATTCTAGCAACTGTGTCCCACCACCACCCACCACCCATCACCCCCTGAAGACAGGATACACTATTCTTCGGATATAAAACACTAGTAGAAATAAAGTTAATTTCTTACATACGTTATACACAAAATAAATTGTGGGCATATTAAAGATCCATATATAAATAATTAAACCATACAAATATTTGAAAAAATCAGGAGAACATTTGGATAGCCTTGGAACTGGGAAAAATTAAGTAAAGGAAAAAAAACACATATGCCATTAAACTAAAAACAGATTTGATTATATAAAAATGAAAAGCTTCAAAGAGCAAAAGATACATACCATAATCAAAAGCATAAATAGAAGACATCACAAAAAAGAATATACTGGAGGAGATTATGGTTAAGTAAAATCAGCCACGCATAGAAAGACACATATCACATGTTCTCACTCACACATGGGAGCTAAAAAAGTTAATCTCATGAAAGTAGAGAGTAGAATGTTAGATACTAGAGGCTGGGAAGAGTGAGTGAATGGGGTTGGTGGGTGTGAAGAGAGATTGGATAATGTGTACAAACATTCAGTTAGATAGAAGGAGTAATTTTTAATGTTCGATAGCGGAGTAGGGTGACCATAGCTAACAACAATGTAGTGTATATTTCAAGATAGCTAGAAGAGAGGATGTGAATTGTTCCCAACACATAGAAATAATAAATACTTGAGGTGATGGATAACCTAAATGCCCTGACTTGATCATTATACATTCTATGCATGTAGCAAAATATCACATGTACCCCATAAATATGTACAAATATTATATATCAATTAAAAAGGAAAAAATAATCTAATAAAATGATAGGTTGGAAGGAAATATATAAATGCATATAATATTCAAAGAACTCTCCCAACTAACAAGAAGATAAACAACCCAATAAAAAAATGTCAAAGAACATAAACTGGCAAGTTTTAGAAAAGGAACCAAAATTAACAATAGTCACATAAAATAAAAAAAATATACTCCCTCTTAAATAATAGATAGGAAAATTAAAATTAACACAATAATGATATAACCATTTTTATCCATTAAAAATTCATAAGGGTGATAATATCCAATGACAATGTAGGGTACCTGATTTTGTCACATACAGTTAGGAGAAGTATAAATAACTACAAACTTTTATAAAAGTGATTTAAATTTATTAAAATGTAAAATATCTAGAAATCCCATTTCTGGGGATGAAAATATCAGTTGATAAAGCTAGTTTTCTGTGGTATTTATTACAGTATTTTTTATAATAAAAAAACTTAAAACAACTTAAATATCATTTAAAAGGTGACTCATTAAAGAAATTCTGCAGAACTTGTACTACAGAACATTGTTGTAACTCTACTTTCTACTACATTTTCATACGGTGACTCTAGGCAAGTCATGCCTCAGTTTCCTCATCTATAAAATCAAGGTAATCATGATATTTACATCACAGATTTATTTGTGCTAACTTGGAAGAATTTTTACTATACATTGCTTAATAAAAAAGGAATTTACAGAATTAAAGGTATTCTTAAAATTTTACAGATACTCATATTTATTTGTATATGTTTGTGTCACCAATGGAAAAACGTGGAGAAGTTATGCATGACATTGTTGAACACATTTACTACTTTTGTAATTTATGTCAGCGAAAAGAAGAAAAATCTCCAATAGAAAGAAAATGACAGGAGACATGTAAAACAAATAATTATGGTTGATAGCCACAGGGAGAAAAATTCAACCTTAAAAAAACTCTCTAGTTTTTGAGAGCCTCCTTAATTCAAAGCCCTCTTTTCAATGTCCTGTGCCATTCAAATTAACCAAATGGAGGGTGCTACAGACATCCACCCTAAGACAAGAGGGTGTGTGTTTGTGATGGGTGCATGTGAGGGGATTTGGGGTGGAGAGGTAAGCATATAGCAGGGAAGATGCTGTGGAGGAAGAAATAAGTACCTTTGGAGAGGTTAGCAACAGACTGGAGTTCTAATCCTGACCCTTGTGCTTATAGTCTATGGAATTCAAACAGCTTTTGTGTGTGTGTGTGTGTGTGTGTGTGTGTGTGTTTGAGCCAATCTCTTCATTTGGGAAATGTGTAGGTGAAGAGATTAAATGAAATCCTATTCATACCAGGCCTGAGACAGGGAGCTCCTGCACTCTCAGCCCTGCCCCAGGCCCACCCGGAGGTGCTGTGCCCTCCTTCTCCTTGTACCCCACTCCCTGTCTCACTGGCTGGGGTGACTGTGCAGCCTTCATCCCCTGCGCCAGAGGAGAGGAGGCTCTGGTCTTCACTCTTAACTCAGCCTTTCTGCATGTGACTTTCCATTTACCATGACACCAATTCATTCTGTATTTAAGTGATTTTGTTCCCTGCAAAAAGCAAAGGCATGATTTCAGTCAAATGCAAACATACTCACATACACACACAAAATGAAACAGGAGCACTGATGCCTTTTACTCAGCACAATTATTTCTAAATAAAAATCCACACGTCACACTGGATCCTGTACAAGATACAAGTTTAGTTAGTAACAGAAATAAAGCTCCCAACACCAAAATGGCAGGAGAAGATTAATTGCAACAATTTTATGTTATTGAAAAAAATGCATTTAAAATAATCGACCCTTTAAAATACCTTGAAGAGACAGAGAGGGGCAAAATAATCTGTCTCTTTGCAAAAGAGGAGTCTCCCAGAGATGGTGGAAAAACTGGAAGTAAAAGTCTCTGCTTGTCTGGTGGGTAAGTGTTCTGGTGGGTCCAACAGGTCAGATAAGAATTCCCTTCCTTTCAGATCACTTATTATGAGAATTATAATTCTGCACTGTTGTCCCATGAGATACTCCAGGTCTTTAAAGCTCTTCTACTTCTGCCCAGAGGGCTGGGTCTGGTGGCATTCCCTGGGGCACAGCTCAGGCGCTCTGGGCTCTGGTCTCTCTGCCACGGTTGAGGAGGTCTGTAAGTTCCCCGATGTACTTGATGGTGTACTTGAGCGTCTGGATCTTGGTGAGCGGCTGGCCTCTCTGGCTGTAGACAGGTGGCAGGTAATTCCGGAGGGTGTGCAGGGCGTCTGCCAAGGTCCTCATCCTGAGCTTCTCCCTCTCGCTGGCCTTCCGCCTCCGCTGGACAGACATCCTGACTTTGGTGCCCTTCTGGGCCTTGGGGCCACCAGTGCCCTGTAGGTAGGCAGGCTGGAAGGCCAACATGTTGTAGTCCACCTCTACCAGGCCACCAGCCCCTTGGATGCTGTAGTCATCACTGCCCCCACTGCTGGCCCCATCATGCCCTCGGGGCAGCCCGGCCACAGCAGGACAGGGAGAAGAAGAATAGGACTCCAGTGACGGAGCTGGGGAAAGGCTCTGAGCAGGGGAGGCCTGGTTCAGCTCAAAGGGCCCTGCCCTGTCTTTCCAGTCCCAGGAGGACAGCAGGCCAGGGCTGTCAGAGGAGCCCAAGCCACCTTCCAGGCTTAGGAAGGTCTCACACAGGTTGTCCATACCCGCGAGGCAGCTGCAGAGGGAATGGCTCCCTGGCAAGTGAGAAAGAAGTTTCTGCCACCCGACCAGGGAAGAGCTGTCTTTTATGATAGTGGGGGAGAAGTGCTGAGGTGGGAAAGAGGGCCGGGTAAAGGGAGTTCAAAGGAAAAACCAAGGACCAAGATGGAAAATGAACTCTTCAGGTGTCACTTTCTCCTCATTGATAATTAGCATCTTCCAGCTAAAATGTCTTTAAACAGAAAGGCCTCCAAGAGAAGAAAAAAGGAATTATCTTGTTGTAACTAAACCAATTAAGGCTGCATAACTAGACTTAGCATTGTCCTGTGGAACTCATTAATGAGGGAGCCAAAGAAAACAAACCTGGGGCATCTGCAGGAAGGAGGGGGTGGCTGAGGGGCTGGGTGCAGAGTTGCAGAGAGACCCAGTAGGGCCTCCAGCCTCTGCACCAAGGCCTGCTAGATAGTTCAGAGCAGATGGGGTGCATTGATGGAGGAGCAGCATGGTCCAGGGACCCCTCTGAGCTTCGATTCCCTAAAACGTCCAGTGCAGACAGCCATAGCTCTTATTTCCTAGGGCTGTTGGGAGGACAGCACACGCAAGGAAGGCATACTGTGGATGCGTTTCCTTTTCTCCTTCCGCTTTAGCAAATTTCTCTGGATTTTTAGAGTATAGACATGCCCCCAACATTCCTACACTCAGAATGATGAAGGCCAGCAACTCAAGCAAGCCCTGAGCCTTAATGAGCAGGAAATAACCTTCAGGAAGCATAACGCCCTTGCTATAACTGAGCAGATTTGGTTTCCCCACAGCAAACAGACATCAGGAAACAGAAAACTCCTTAAAGCCAGAGAGTTTGCAGAATACTTGGCATTTAGCCTTCTGAAGGTCTTTTTAAAATCTAGCTGTAGCTGTACCTGTTTTTTTTTTTTTTAAATGAGTCACACCTTGTTTTTTGAAATGTATAGAGGAAGTGTGAAATTAACTAGGGAGCCTGTTTTCCCCACCACTGCTCCAAATGCCGCTGAATGTGTTAGGTGGGACGGTTGTGCTAGTTTGTCTCACTTCCTATATGCTCTGATAGACCCTATATTTTGGAAAAGGGATCTCTGATTCCCCATTTGTCCCATGAAGGTAATTTGTTCTCCGTGTAACTAATTCTACAACATCAGAGTCTATTAACATCAGAGTCACAGTGAGTTGCATTTTAGGGTAATATTAACGTGTCCTTTATCATAGTTATTTGAGTCCTTTTGCAATTATTGAAAAGAAATGTCAGTGGCCTAATTAGAACATCTATGGTATTTTTTAATTAGCAATGCTCAGGGAAGAAAAATCTCAAGCAGGTAATTTGTAGAAGAATGTTCTTAATTTTACCATTGACTAATGAACCATAAGCCAGACCTGAAAGAATAATAACATTAAAAAACTATAACAAATGTAATAAACAATTTCTCCTCCTTTTTCCTCTCTCCTCTCCCTTCAACTTTCATTGAGAAGTCTAGAATCTGCTCATACTATGCAAGGAACTTTATATATTATAACTAATCTTCATTAAAAAAAAAAACCCAAACAATAACATTTTACAGATGAAAATACTGAGGCTGTCAGAGGTTAAGAGATTCAGTTAAGAAATCCCTGGTAGGAAGTGGTTAGAGCCAAGATTCCTTGTAAGAACCCAAAGCCAACCTTTTTGTAAAATCTTCAACCCAAGTGTGACTCAAAGAGAGGAGATTCCCAGTGCACACAAGGTGGCTGTGGTGGCTGCTGCAATTGTAGGCTCTCAGTCCTTACTTTCTAAATGTCACACTTTTCCATGAAACACTGATACGGAAAATGTCAGGCACCGGGCGTGGCGGCTTGCCACCTCCCTGTCTCTTCACATCGCTGCGGGCCAGCGCTGCGCATGGCCAGTTGGAGGACACGCTGCTGGGGCTGGGCCGTGGCAGAGAGCCGCCTGGGGCCCCACAAGCCACTGCCTGTTTCCTGCCACACTGCTTGCTTGATCCTGATTGGGTAATTTTTAAATCCCACTGTTTTTGATTGGATGTTAAAGCTTGTAGTTCATTGGACGCTTTTTGAGACCTACCAAGCGTATAAAAGCAGGAGGAGAACAAGAAAGGGGGGACAGAAGGGAAGAAGACCAGAAGACCGGAAGAGAGCTGTAACACTAGGTGTGCTGAGCCTGCTGTGGAAGAATAAAAGGCTGTTCTCCGATTATTCATGTGCTGCTCTGTTCTTTCCCCAGTCAAGAGCTGTAACACTAGCTGTACACATTGCCGGAACAACACGAGAGCCTTATGCTCTCAGGCTCCATAATTTCCCCCCGTTTTCTACAGCTTATTTCTAACATTGCTAATTTCTTGAATCTCCATTTTTAGATGTTTCATTTCCTAAAAGACCCAATATCTGTCAAATCCTTGGTGCACTTACTAGAGACACTTAGTAAGTGTAGGTCTGGTTATTGTTGTTGCTGTCTGTTATGGTCAGACCCGCCAGTGTCAGAGTGACTTACTGAGCTGTGGCTCTTCTACCTCAGACACCAGCCTCCCAGCATTGTTGGCTCCCCCAAAAATCTATTTTTGGAACAAGGAAACTTCCTGGTTTCCATCTTCTCAATTTACATACTCTCCCTCTGGTAAAAAAAATCAAACAGAACCAGACTTGCATTCATCCCACTTATCTCCAAGAAGCGTCCTGTGCTCTATCTGAGGAACATATAGGTAAAGGACAATATGACACTACACTATAGGCATTTGAAGGCTTGTAGTTGGGCACACACTGGTGAGTGCTTTTCTGTCTCTACTGAGAACCAAACAGCAGAACACTAGACAGTGTTCTGGACAGGCTAGATCCAGACTGGACCCAATAACCTTAGCTAAGAGTGTGGGTGGTAGTAAGATGAACCAGATCTTACGTCCTTTAGGGAAATGATTCACCCCTCAGGGAATCAGTATTTTAGTTTGTAAAAGGGCACAATAATACTTGTCCTGTCTTCTTTATGAAGAGCATCTGTCAAATGAGGAGAGTGGATCCGGAGATCATTAAACCCTTCCATCTCCAAAATGCCATGAAATATATTACTGCAGTGTGAACATGCCTGTTCACACTGCACAAAGAACACCATGCCAGCACAAAGGGATTGGAGATCACTGAGTCCATCATTATCTTTATCTGCAGTCTAGAAATGGTCAAAGAGTTGCTCCATGTCATATCCAAAAGCTGTGGCAGAGATGGAACTAGAAAAGCCAAAGTTGCCTGACTTCCGGATCTGTCCTTTTTCTTCCCTTGAAACTAATATGGATTAAGTGCTAAACATGAATTAAGAAGACTACATATTTCCCACATTACTGAATTATTGGGATAAATATTTTAATTTAAATGTCATTCTCTCAACAAATATTTACAAGCTATTGTGGCTGTGATTGTAACAGATTGAAAAGAAGCCGCAACCCTGAGGCATACTCACAAGAGACCCTGAAAAACCTCCTAGTCCTATTTTCCAAAAGGCAATATAGTGGTATAGGCTGTCTCTGCTCTCAAACCCAGGCCTTCATATTAGCCTTTATACCATAGCTACACCCATTAAGGAGGACCCAGGATTTGCCACATATTAGTGAGTGGTCTGTGTCTAATTTTTAGAATGATGAGGTCCTAAAGGAGTGCCAGTTATGTCCCCAATGTCAGGACACCTGGGCATTTCACACTGGCTGCAGGGGATTGTAAACTCCATACCTAAGGGCCAGGAAGCTTTATCCAGGCAGAGCCATGTCCAGGAAATCAAAAAATAGTGCTCAAATGGTAGACAGGAAATAGAAGGCAACAGGCTGATGGGATTCTTGAACCTGCAACCCCAGTGGTTCCATGCCACTGCCAACCCTTATGGCACTTCTGTGCAAAATAGAAAACTGCCAAGCTCGGGCTTATTTCAGCCCTGCCTGCCTCCTCAGCTGGGTACCTGTGTGCAGGGTACAACCTCCACAAGTGGTGGCCTGGGAGCCCTCTGTGGTGTGGCTCCTCTGCAATGTCAGCATTTGTAGTACTTTAGTGGCTGTTCAAACATTGGTGGACAGATAGAAGCTGGGAGTAGCAGTAAGAGTGCAGAGACAGGAGCCAGACTAAACCTGGGTTAAATCTTATATTTGCTCCTGCATTATTGTGATCTTGGACACATTACTCAACCTTCCTTAGCTTCAGCATCATCTGTACAAGTGAAATACTAATACGTGCCTCCTAGAGTACACACTTTTACTGTATATACATTGTATACTTTAAGTATGGTAACGAATGCTACTGTAATTATTAATCTTATACTCAGTAAATTCTTGGTCCCTTGAGTCAAGAGAAAGTAAAGCCACAATACAAGTAGCCACAAATACATCACTCCCCTATTTTCTTGGCCTCAAGCAACCTCTGCTTAGAAGTCAAAATTCTTCCCTTCATATGAAACCTTTCTTTTTTAGTGGAGCCAGAGCAGTGGTACCCAGGGTGGGTGGTGCAGGCAACAAAGGACTATATTGTCTATAGATAATTTCAAAACAGTGATAAAGCTGGCTAAAAGTTGGTCTGTGTTTTACTATCACCATATAGTGGTAATTCTCAACAATGACAGCGATAAAATGACTAATCCTCGTTGGGGCTGACCACATCCGCCACTACCCCAATGCTTGGCATACCACTGCAAAAGAGAACTTAAAATTAGCCTAGAAGCTTGGAACTGTCACTGAAACCACACAAATCCTAGTGGAAGTTCTGACTTTTGCTATGGAACGTTGAGTGAGTGATTCAACCTTTAGACCTCAGTTTCCACATGTGAAAATTAGGAATCCTATATATCATGTTGCTAAGATGTCATAAAAAAAATTAAAAATTGAGATTTGACTTTTGGAAGGGTAAAAGGGCTACAAGGGTATGTTTTGCTATTACTGGGATTAACAAAAATAAATACTTTCACCAATGCAATCATCGTGTCAAACTTGGCCATGTTGCCATGCTATATGACACCAGGCAAATCAGCATGGAAGATGGTTCATGCTCTTTCAAAAACCTGTCTCATGAGAAATAGCACTATCCCCAGATATGTTCTACATGAAACAATTTGTGTAGGCCATTCACTTGTGGCAGAGGGAGGACTTGAGTAAATTTCAGCCTCTAATTATGCTCCAGAAAAGCCTTCAATAGATAAGAATTTGGTCAGCAAACTAAAAAAATCTAATCTTAGAGTCAAATTCCACTATACTGCACTGCC